CAATGCTTATTTCGAGTTTCGAATTTGACTTTCGCGTTGCGAATTTGTACCTTCAACAGGTCTTTTTTGCCTTCAAACATAATGCAGATTGAATTTTTTAGAAACAACAAATCAACTTTTACAAATTAATTAAACAAGCAAAAAAATAATTCTTATGTACACATCAAATTAAACAAATCAACTTTTACAAATCAATTAATCAAAAAATAAATCTTATTTCCTCATCAATTAAACAAATCAACTTTCAATGTAAAATTCAATTAAACAAAGCAAAAAAAGTGTACCACATATTGTTGTTTATGCACAAATACATCAATTTCACGCAGCTCACTTTAGGATTAACCTGCAGAAACCAAACATTTTCTCAAACAACACTTTCTACACATCTAAAACCAACAAACAACAAATTACTTAATTCTAGATACTTAGCCAAATATTTTCAAACCAATTAAAGAGTATATATGTTAACAACACTTGCTCAAACTTACCAATTGTTTATGCACACTTTCAGCACGCGGATATAGGTAGGCAGCGTCTCACATATATCGATCTGGCCATATAATGCCGAAACCACAAGCCTACTGTACCTCTATCTCTATCTGTGGGAGGTAGATAATGTTTACTTCCTGTCGTCAAACGTTCCAAGAACAAGCATACGAGATGACCACAATCCCCTATGGCTCCCTGCGTTTGTTGTGGCGCAGTCTCGTCTCTGATCATTGTAATTTTGAACTTCTTTGGCTTCTTGTTTCCAGAATTTGTCCAATAATCAATCGTATCCAAGTATTTAGCCAAATGATCGCTCCATCCATTTGTAATAATATCTCTCAAATCAGACAATGGTATGTAATTCAACATGCTGTCATATACCATTGTCTTCATGGATGGGAGCTGAAGCTCGACGAGAAGCCAATGACGACGTTCCAAAACAGGGATAAACACTTGCAATCATAAATAATTGCGCACATCAAATAAAATTTATGAAAATCTTTAAAATATTCAAAAAATAAATACTAACCTTATCGATCTCCCACCATGCAAGATAAAGTTTAGCTTTTCCATTACCCAACGTATATGGAGCATCTCTCTGATCTTTCAAGTGAGCTACGTGAAAAGACGTCGGTATAATAGTCCATCGAGTATTTCTTTTCCTTAATTTTCTTATTATTAGAAGACGTGACACCCATGCATCAATATGTTGTTTTATAAAAAAAAATATTAGTGAATTTATTAATAATTTAAAAAAATTAATCAAAATGCAATATAAGAAGAATATAAGACTTACCACCCCTTCGAGATAGCCATTATCTTCAACCCCTAATAAAATACCCCACCAAGACCGATCAAGAAAAAAATGAATAGCATCGTCGATTTGGCATAGGTTAAAATAACACCCCTTGCTCCGCTCATGTAGATAAAAATCAACTGCGGTCTTAGCCCAAAGGGTATTATCCGTAATTGTGTCCGATAGTGTATCCCTCTCCTGCTGAGGAATGGTACTGGCCGGTAACACATACGAAAGCCAACTCGCATCTATCATATCGGGAACGGGAGGGGGTTTATCAATATGTCGACATATGACGCCATGTGAATCGGGCTCTTGAACGGCGGGCGGGACCTCTTGAACGATGACAGGGGCCTCTTGAACGGTAGGATGTGCTTCTTCGATAATGAGAGGGGCCTCTTGAACGATAGGATGTGCCTCTTGAATGATGATAGGTGCATCGGGCTTATTCTTACAGAGTCTTAGCATTAGTGGGGTGAACGGAGACGTAATGGCACGTGTATGACGTCTGATGTGTGAACCCCGTCGTGTAAGAAAAACCCGATATAAAGCATCTACCTTATCGGGCCGCTGAAAATAAATTAATACATAAATCAGTAAATAAATAAATAAATAATGCCGAAAAAAAGTTATTTGCATTTTTAGTATAGTATTAAACAAATTTACCTCATTGCGTAGAGTATGAACCTCATTCTGCAACAATAAAGCAATCTCGCGTAGAGTGGCAACCTCATCACGTAAAGTATATACCTCACCGCGTAACGCACCATTGGCATCACGTAAAAAATCCACCTCACCACGTAAAGATCGAACCTCATCACGCCATGCACCATTATCTTCACGTAAAGTACCGATCTCATGACGCAAAGCACCGACCTCATCGCGTAATTCCCCTAACTCATCCCGTGGAGGTGGAGAACAGGGAGATAAATGTCGTGGCCTCTTTGTCGGTCGCCTATCATGAGGTGATGGTGGAGAAGATGCTCGATGATGTGATGGAATAGATGATGGTGGAGGTGGAGAAGAGGCTCGATCAGGTGATGGCTCCGGGTGTCGAGCTGTAGAATCGGCCAGATCAGGTGATGGCTCTCGAGGTGGGGGTGCTCATCATCCGTCCCATCAAAAAACCGCTTACTAGCTTGCCACCAATCAGTGGCAAGCTCATCTTTTGTGGGTGTCAGCCTCTGTAATGGATATTTGGCCTCCTAACAATATAAAAGCTCAAACAAAATTAAACTTGTACTAGTAATAACTTGTTTATATATGGTATTATTTGTGTGTTAACTTATATCATTCATCGTCGTATATAGGAGTAGCTCTTCCCAATCCAACATGTGGATCCTCTTTCAGGTAATAGCCCTAGGAATATCATTTGATCTTTTTATCGCATATGTCTGCATGCTGGGGAAAGCCTCAAATATCCAAATCTACAAATAATATAATATACAAACATTAGTAATTGTTAAATAATTAATTATAATTTTGGAAACATTATATAGAAATTATTATCTTAAAGGCCCAAGTAAAGCCTGTCAAAGTGTATTTAGAACAATCGCCCCGCAAACTTTTTCGGTCCTCAAAGGCAGACGACAAATTCTTCCAGGTAGCTTTCCATAGATATGAACCCCACGGAAACAGGTTCCATGCATTTAGGTCCTCTACCAATAATATTAGGTCCTCGGAGATAGGTTGTCTGCCATTTTTACCTAAAAAGTCGGCATGCAAAAGTAATAAATGGCATACTCGAACAACATCAAGGTCATCCATCCGAGTAAAACCATCTTTATCAAATAATATATTCAAGTCGTCGACGTGTAAACTCGGCTTCGACTTTGCTAGCTCAGGAAAAACCCGAGATAACCATGATGGGCAGGCGATATGACTAGTGTACCGACCTACATCATCGTGTCCGAAGCGTAGACCAGTGATTACGCAAAACTCCTCCCGCCCAAAACAAGTATGTGCCGGAGGAAAATGAAACCATATCTCCTCATCACTACGTTGTATCCCCTCGGGTAAATCGTTAGTCATGGTCTGAAGAAACAAATGTGTCAACATAGCATCTTCACCCGTATGTTGCACTTTCAGCCATGGCCCGAAGCAAGTATACTCAAACAATTTTTTTTGTAGAGGTTTAAGCGTCGACGCAATTTTAGTGGCTAGGCTTAATTTATTCCTTAAAGTCAATGCAGCCGAAAAAAATTTCTACAAAAATAATAAACATACAGTTAGATATACCAAAAACTACAAATTATACACTATAAACAGACATGATATTAAACAGTGAAAACAAAGCCAAATATGTTTCAAACTAGCACGGTATTCACCCAAGTCATTATTCCATCATTGTTCACAAAATGCATCAGATAACATTCCAGAAGTAAGCACTTATATAAACATTTAAAAGGACAACATATAGATTTAGTGCAGGTTCAAGGACAACATAAAGAGTAGTAGTTTATTCTTGAAACTTAAATTAGCAACACTGTGAAGTTAGTATTTGTCTTTTTTTTGTTGAAGTGATGCAATTCATTCAAGTTTCAATTTACAAAATAAAATAAGTTTCTGAAACTTAAATTCGCAACGCGAAACTAAAATCGCGTTGCGATTTTCATTTTCGCGTTGCGAATTTGGTGATGTGATTTAGGGTTTCTTCAACAAAAAGAAAAAACAAAAAGACAAAACAAAAACAAATATTAACTTCACAGGGTTAAAGACTAAACAGTTTAGCAGTATTGGCAGCAACCGAATGAATTTACTAAGCAATCTCAGTGAAATGGTTAATCTATATATATTGAAATTACCAGTAAATTTATCATCAATATAAGAAAAATCTAATAATAATACAAAAATTTCAAAATAAAAATAAGAGATTAAAAAAACTAACCCTCGGTGGTTGATTTTCCATTTCTGACCGTGAATGGTTGTGAGGGTTTCTCTGAGAGATGAAGATAAACAAATTTCGTCGGAGATGGGGACAGATGTCGCCGTAGAGAGTTAGAGATGGAGATGGGACTGAGTTGTGATTTAGGGTTTTAGGTTAGAGATGATTTGCGATAATACTGTTTACATTTGTGTTGCGAAATTAATACTGTGTTTCGCGTAAAAACATTTGACTTTCGCGTTGCGAATTTGACTTAAGTGTTGTGATTTACAAATTCGCGTTGCGAATTTGACTTTTGTGTTGCGAATTTGACTATCGCGTTGCGAATTTGACTTCTGTGTTGCGATTTACAGATTCGCGTTGCGAAATTGGAAACTGAGTTGCGAAATTGGAGTTCGCGTTGCGAATTTGTTGGTCATTTTGACAAATCCAAAAAAAGTTGGTTAAATTCGTATATTATAATACATTTTTTGTCACTGATATTATTTTATCATTATTAGAAGCAAATATATCTTAATTTATATGCATTTGTTGAGAAACAAAAGGGTTGGCCAAATTTGTGCATTATTGGTTCCAAAAGTGATTTTTTAGGGATCCAAAAGTAAATATTCACTGTGCCTTTTTAATCCACGTTTTCTTTAAAATATTATGAATTATTTGGTGGCGTTTATTAAATATAATTAAATGAAAAATATCGCTTATAATAATACTACTTGCATCTCATGAATTTATGAGTGCTTCAACATGCATCTCATGAATTTAAGCAGTTCAAAAGAAAAAGAAAAGAAAAAAACAAACAGAAATGATGATCAATTTTACACATGATGATGGTTAGTCATAATAAGATTCAACAATTCCCAGGGTATTTTCTCATCTCAAATGGGCAGAGAAAACCAACTAACCTATAATGCAGACTTGAGTCCTAAGCCACTCTGCAATTCTTGTGGAATCATCTGGATTTTATCCATGAACTTGTTCATAGTCTCCATGCCTTTCTCATCTATTACAATTAAAACCAAAAATGAGAAAATACCTTGATCAGACAGAGATGAAGCTTATAGTGACTATAGGGTTCTTTTTAATATCCGGGAAAAAAGTTCGACGTTATCGTTACTAACCGAGTCTTGGCACGGTGTGCCCCCCTGAATGATGAACAAGAAAGGGAATCACAAATTTTTCCATTAGCTTGTAACTTCGTTCCTTCAAGAAATCCTTCTCTCCTGAATAAGAAAATTGACATTTTCAGAGAATGGAGGATTTACGAGTCCTAAAACTAGCTTGTAACCAATATCTGCAATGCAGAAGGACAATTTGCATAAAGAAAAAAGAGATCAAACTTGTTTCCTATGAGTAAAAACTTCAAATTTTTCAACTAAAATGTGCTTGCACTAGACTTATTGAATCAGCTCTGCCATTTTCCATAAAAATTGCTGTGGAGTGTGGGCTCATTTTGATTTAAGTACTAATATCTAACACTTACATCCCACACACTTTTGGGTATGATCATCCAAAGGTCCTCCAAATAAATGAAAAACCTAGGAAAATTTGAACATAGGACACATACTCGTATCTAACACACCCAATTCGAATAACATAAGTCTGGCCTATGAGCTTGGGCACAAAAGTCTGTAGCATGCTATACTTCATACCTAACAACTTCACTAAAGAGAGAAATTCTAAAGCTTATGCTATCCAGATGCTTTAAGACTTCATTTACTGTATAGCATTTAAGGTTGATAAAAGCTTAGAGATAGCTAGGTCTTCTGTCCTATGTTGTTCTGAATCTTCATTTTTCTTATAGTACTTGAGTCTAACACATGTATCCGGTGTATGAAAAATCTCTTTAGACTCTCCAAATACATGTAACATGTAAAATTTTGAAAAGATTAGAACATACCCATGACAGACACATCCCAAACCCGACACACACCGAGTTCGAGTAACATAAGACTCTGGTTACTAAAAATGTAGTAGAACTAAATGAAGGCAATTAAAATTGCAATAATAAGTCCTGAACTTAACCGATCAAATGAATTGAAGGGCAGTCAATTGGAACTGAATACACATTAGCTAGCATTTTAGGCGGCCCGGACTTCAATTCTCGAAGTGCAAAGCCTGATATTATGATTACAAACTTTATCTTCGGCACTTTGGTGAAAGCAGACCCCTGCAAATCAAATTTCAAGAAAAAAAATCAGTCAAATTTGCAAATACTCTCATCCTTATTATCAAAGAAATTTCAATGAGCAAACCTCTCTTTGCAGTTGAGGAATTACAGACGCAAGCATTCCACCCTGAAATCCATGAGATTACCCAACCCAAGCATTAATTTTAATCAGAAAACTGAAAAGGATTCCTTCCAATGATTTCATGTACCAATTGGTTTACCTGAGAAAACCCCAGTAGACCATCAAAGGGGCCATGTTTAATCATATAATCATCTATATATGCAATACATTCCTCAAAATGCACACACTCAATCTGAAAAAAACAAAGAGAAGAGGTATAATGTTTGTTTCATCTGATATATCATGAAAAAAACGATGTTGAAACTGAAAGAACGAACCTCGTTGACTTGATACCATTCATAATAAGGTGGATCATAAATGGATTCAACGTCAGATTTTCCTGTTGCAGGATATGGGCCGTCGAGAAAATCGAAATCAAAGTTTCCCAGGATGGAATCAGGCCATTTTCCCATCATTTTCTTCAGGATTTCACTGCTTGTTCTGAAGCCATGGAGGCATAGAACTCTGGGTTTCTTCCTGCATAGTTGATTTCCCACCATTTCCCTCTCCTATGCTACTAGTTTGCTAAAAAAAGTAATCGATTTCTTGAACTGGGGAATGGATGTGCAATACAACGTGGGAGCTAAGCCTTGTCAATAAGCTATATTTAGAATCCTTGCGTGAGGCAGTTGCTAGCTAACACGGTGCCGAAACCAGAGGGCATATTATTTTATGCAACACTCTTACATTTTACAAGTATTATGGGTGTACAACGACTTTTTTATTCTTACCTACGTGTTGGCGGGGTAAGAAGAAAATTACATACCAAAATTACAATTACCTTTTTTGTTCTTACCTCCGAATTAGTTCGTCGGCATATGATGGATAAGAGCGTGTGCCGTGTATGCAAAAGTGACGATGAAGTTTATCACTATAAATGATTCTTAGTCAAGTTTGAATATTATTAAGTTCGACTTGATTCAAAAACTCTCGAGTTTAAATTTATTCAATTTAATTCAAACTCAAAATAAAAAATTAAAGTTCAACTCTAGTTCGAAAAAAATTTAAATTCGAAATATTCTCAGACTTAGCTTAATTGAACCTTAAACCAGAGCTCAAGCTTGAACTTAAATACATGAAAATCTTATTTTATATTTTTTAAAACATAACATATTAATGTTAATATTATTAATAATTTAATTTTAAAAAATAATATATTTTTTGAGTCACTCACAAATTTTTCAAATCGAGTATTAAGTAACTCGTTTAGACTCATTAAAAACTAGAATCTAATTTATTCAAATCAAATATTAACTAAACTTTAACCAAATAAAACTCAAATAAATTACTATTTGTCTCGTCTCATTTACAACGCAACCAAGGGAACTTGGTTATTAATGGACGAAACTAGGGTGTCTTATTTGCAGTTGTTATTAATGTGACTCCTTAAATTAACTTAATTAATCCTCTAATTCCATTATATTTTTGTTTTAAAGCATTTTTCTAATTATTTTGAATAATTAAGAGATTGTACTTATTTAATTTGCTAATAATATATATATATATACACATATTATAAACGTAATTGTTTAACTCGAGTTTCTAACTATAAACCTTCTCTATCAAATTAATTAAGCCTAAGGAATCCCATTAGATTTGTTTTTGACAATTCGTCAACCGAGTTCAATAGCAATTGTTACTTTCAATTATTATATCTTAATGTAAGTTGAAGTTGTCAAAAAGGTTTGGAATGTGTTTTGCTCCTTTAAATGTTTAACATCGGCAATAAAACGTTGCGTTTTTTGGTTATTTTCATTTCTATAGTTTCCCAAATTTTAAACTTTTTTTATTTTTTCCTAGATTTTCTTTTTCTTAATTTGATTCTCAAAATCGATAAAATTTAAATCAAAGTTTCGACATTATTTTGGTTAGATCTACAATTTTCAACGTTTAATCAGCATGGAATCGAAATATATTATTTTTTCCTCATTTTCATCCTCCTTTGAAATTTAGGAGATAATATTTTAACATATGTAAATCAAAGAGAGTCCACAAATTCGAGTTTAAGGGGCATATTTTAACATTATTATTATTTTTGCATAAATTTAAACAAAAGTAAATAAATAATATCAAAAAAGTTAACCATTAAGTAATTAAAATGAATGAAATTCAAAAATTTAATAATGAAATTAAAAAAATTAAAAATTAAATGATTGAAACATAAACAAAATTGAATGATAAAAAATGTAGTTTAACATTTGAAAAATGAGGATTCTTGTTTTTTTCCATGTATATATATATATATATCATACAAATTATGTTGTTCGAATTAGAGTCATTAAGAAAAATAAAAATCTCTTAATCACTTAAACTATTCTATAGACTCGTAGATTTTTAATATCGAATTATAAATATTATCGAGAGTTATTTTAATTTTAATTTATCTGGGGTAAATACAAGGTAATATATGTTCAAAGATAATTCTCACTCATTTGACATTAAACGCTCACACCTTGGTATTCATGATGCTTGAACTCGGGACGATTAGGCATAACAACAATTCCTTTACCACTGAAGTCGCTTGATTCGTATTAATTTACTTATTTATAATTACTATGATTAATTTCTATTATATGAAAGTATTAATAAGTATCGGAGGGTCGTGGACCATTTATAGAGTTCATTGAATGACATGTTCATGACAAAGGGACACTTTGATGGTGAAAATAAACCTAACTCAACATGCTTTCGCTTTATTGCGCTTTCCTTGTACAAAACGTATAAAGTAATGTTCATCTTTTTGGAATTTTTTAATAGTTTTACTTATTATAAGTTAGTATTTATTTATGAAATTTTAAATTTATTAAAAAGTTATATATATTATGTAGGCGAAGTTATTCGAATCCAAAACTTCTAAAAAGATCAATATTTTATTTTACCACAAAAATTACTTAATGAGTTCAAATTTTATATATAACTAAATTCACTCATTTACAAAAGAAAGCAACATCACTTATAAATTAAAATTTATTGTCTTAAGCTTTGCTTGGGAAAATGATTATTATGTACCTTTACTAATGAAAGAGATAATTATATTTTAAAATGAAATCTGGGTAAAGTTCACACGTGATTGTTAAATTATTACTCTTTTTTATTTTGGTTATTGATCTTTTAATTTTTTCAGTCAGATCATTTAACTATTTAAGGAGTCAATTTAAAAAAAAATCACGTTAACTCATCCGTTAAATATTAATGACTGGTGGTTTGATTGCAATACTTAAATAGTTAAGTAATCTGATTGACAAAATTAAAAGATCAAAAATCAAAATGAAAAATGACAATATTTGAAGTCATAGATATAATTTACCCTAAATTTTAACCAAATCCAAACATAAAATATTTATTTATTTATTTTGATTAATCTAAAGTGTATCATATATATATATATATATATAGTTTACCCTAAATTTTAACCAAATCCATACGTAAACTATTTATTTATTTATTTTGATTAATTTAAAGTGTATATATTTTAAAAATTATCAATTATTTGATAAAAAAAACTCAACCATTATTACCGTCTTTAGTGCCCAAACTTATAATCTTTAAAAATAATAACTATTTCTTTTACTACTCAAATAACTTACTTGGTGTAAATGTAAAATATTTAAAATAGAGTTGATTGCATTCTTGGATATTGGGATACACCCCAATCATGTTTGAATAAAAAAAATCAAATCCCTTTAATAATAATCTTTGAAAATAAATCCACTAAATTAATTATTTATTATTTATATTTTTAATAATATAAAATAATTATAAAGAGATCATATTTGTTTAATATTTGTTTAATTTATTAACAATATATATATATATATATATCTTATAAACATAACTCTTAAAAATTTAAATTTTATATAAAAATAATAATATTTCCTTTTATCTCAACAAAAAAAAAAATCTCAAACAATGGAACCAAAATTATGATAATTCAAACCTTAAATTGACTTTGACAGTAAAATTTACAATTTCATTCCATATCACCGAAGATTCAGCAACTACTAACCTGTAAAAGAAAACTCATTGAAACTCTGAAATCTCCCGGAAGAGAACTTGACCGAGTCACCACCTTGCGTCATCATAACTCGCTCCCCAAACCGAGCCGACTCACTCACCTTGTTCCTCCTCCCCGTAATCAACGATCTCCCTGTATATTCTTTATACACTTCACTGTTCCCAATCTGATCCTTTAGTTCACTTATAGAACCCCAAACCGTCTCGATCATCACTTTCTTCCTCTGGAAAATTGTTGACAATCCATCTTTACAATCCTCCAGTCTTTTCAAAGCGCACGCCAACTCAACCGAGTCAACGAAGCTCAAACAACCGAGTCTCTCCCTAAACTCACTGACCCGAATTGAAACCTCGTTGATCGATGACAAATAGTCCTCACCCACCGATCCTAGTACCTCGTCAACCAGTATGTTGCAGTTTGAATTCAAAGAACCCGGCGCTCTCGCAATCTGTTCGATCAAATTCCCCAAAGAGTTTATCTCTTTGAGCAATTCACTGTTTATGAGCGATGATGCTTTGTCTTCTTCTTTGTCTTTATCTTTATCTTCACCGCTTGAAGTTGAACATAGAAAGAACCCTAAAATTCTCGATGTTGACAACATATTTTCAAGGTATAAAGCATACCTGCAAATTTCATTTATAATTGTTATGATTTTTAGATTGAAATTACATAGTTTTTTTTTAAAGAGAGAGAAAAAGAGTATGATGAACGTACCATCTAACCCAAGAAGAAAGTTCCCATTTCAATGGCGTCGTATCATCTCTGAAATTCGATAGTTTAAGGTAATTCCGGCCGCCGGTATAAGGATAAACGGAAAGCTGATCTTGAAGAATGAAGCTGCCACGTTTAATGATGTGATGAACTGCGATGAGACATTTGATGGCAACGGAAGCATCACGGGTGGTTTGGAGGCGGTCCATGAGGGCCTCGACGGCGATGGAGGCGGTGGCGCGTGAGCTATGACCGAAGGAAAGTAGAGCCGCAAGGTGTCTTGGGTCGGGTGGGTTGAAGGGATCATGGGTCGTGGATCTCAGTAAGGCTAAGTGGAGAGATAGAGTTTTGGGATTGGAAATCAAAGCTGCTTTGCTTTGAGAAGCTTTGTCTTTGATGATTCCGATGAAATCTCTGAGAATTTTCACGCGCCCCATTGAAGAACAAAGGAAGAAACCCAAAGAAGAAATGAAAACAGCAACGTAAATTTATCATGAAAGTTTACTTGTTCATCATTCCTTTGTTTCTTTTTCTATAAAAAAAAAAATCTTCACCAAATGAATAGCTATTGCATTTAATATAACAACATTGTTAATAATATGAATTAATTTCTAAATATCATTTTATTATATAATAAAGGCAACAAATATGGTTGAAATATTAAGATTAATATTTAATTAGAGCTGACGATTTTGAAAAATCTATTGAAAATTTTGAACAAATTTAGAATTTCTTATAGTACATAACTTTATTTGTTGTTTATCTTTCGAACAATTTTGTTGGTTTATGGATAAGGTCATTAATGACTTCTTAATTTGGTAAAGATTATGAGTTCAAGTTTATTCTAATCATAAACTCGTTACATTTTATCAAAACGATTTTTTTAAACTTCTTAATAAAAGTTATAATCAGACTTACATATGATATATTCAAATAAATTAGTATTAGAATTAATTGTTACAAAATATAATCAAATTAGTAATTAAAAAATATTTAGAAAGAAACATAATGTAATTACATTTGAAATAAAAATGAGAGATAATTTACACATAATTGTGTAATGTATTGTATTTGTTTAATTAATTGCTGATATTCGATCTATTGATCGACTAATTTAGATCGAGTTTTGTAAAGATCATTATATGAGCGACCTTCCAACTCAGTTTACTCTATTCGTAAACGTTAAAATTCGAACGTATAACTTTACTTAAGAAATCTAGTGCCTTATTTAACTTTACCAACTAATTGTTTGTAATGTATTGCATATTGATTGATGCAATAGCTTAAATAAAAATATTCAATGATAGTGAAAACTCATATTATTTACAGTCATATTCAACACAAAAGTTTCAATATTTTTTATTCAAATTATTAAAAAAATCATGATCTTATATTTTGTAAGATATTAAAGTTCAATATTTATATTTAATTTGATGATTAGGAGATAGCTTTGAAGTTAATTCAAACCCAATTCTATTGATGTTTTGCAGATGTATTTTTATTATACTTACTGATAAGTCTAGTTAAGTCGAAATTAAAAGATTGTTTATCTGTTTTTGTATTTCTTTGATAGATTTTTATTAAGATTATTAGTTGATATATTATTCATAAAAAAATAAGCAAGTGTTTTATTTATTTACTTTAAATTTTTAAATATATTTAATCATATATTCATGTAATTTTAATATTTTTAATAAAAAAATACTATGCATGTTTTTGTAAAATAAAATAAAATTAATGTTCTTAATAGTAGAAGGTAAACCAAATAGACGTTTGCATTACTCTTTAAAGGGTCATTAAAGTTTTATCCTTGTACACTGCTTAAAATTATGTCACGGAACATATCAAACGATTTTGGTGGTAAAATAAAATATTATTTTTAAAAGTATTGGACTCGAACAATTGCATCTGTAAGGTGTATATATATCGTCAATTATTAAGACAAATATTACATTATAATCACCGAACTTACTATTAAAAAATAATATGTCACGACCTACTTTTCTTCATATTTTAATTTTGGTTTAAACTTTTATTTTATGGAATTTTCTTTGGATATGTTTTGATTTGAAATCTATTTTTCAGTAACTTTATTTGATTCTTTTTTTTAATCAGTTTGAAGAAATTTTTAGTGATTTAATATATCATCCGTAATTATATTCATAACCCTTTAAGAAAAATTGAAAGTGTACTTTTAATGAGATATCGATGTTTGATTATTTCCCACATGTAACTTTGAATTTCTATCATATAATTAATTTTAGTTATTCAAGAGAGTGTTACTCTCTCTTGAGATCTTAGGTTCGAGTAGCCGTGTCTGCAGAGCGTGTATGCATTGTCAATGATAAAGAAATATCATGAACAAATATTAACCTGGTAATCACCCCAAATTATTAAAGAAAGTTTAACTATTATGTAAATTATGGTATTCAAATAGAGCTTCGGATGAAAGAAATTAAGATAAAACATCCATTAATAATTATTATGTGGTTGGTGTTATGGAATTCGGATTAATTTCCACCAATAATAACAAATTCACCTAGAAAACTATTATCTAGGTGACTAGTGTGAAAACGATTGTACTAAAAATCACCTCAAGGTAGATTCTCAGGAAAGAGGAGGGGTCACAATGGTCCTTCTTAAAACCTACTTTCCTTAGACATAACTACCAAGACAAGTAATTTTAATAGGACAATAATTAACAACAACTATACCCGACAATAGCTATTAAATAGACATAAAAGAGAACACCAAAATTTAACGAGGTTCGGCCAAAATTATGCCTATGTCCTCGAACACTATTAAAATAATATTTCACTAATAGAGGAAATATTACAAAGAGAGAAAGAGTACAAATAGCCTTTAATAGTGAAGAAGGCTTATATTTGTGGGATGCTTAACTAAGGAGGAGGAGGACTCTATTTATAACAAAAGAATTTCCCCTCCTCCTTATACACAACCAATGTGGGACTTTGCCAAAAAACCAACAAATCTCCACCTTGGCAAATTCCACACACATCTCTCAAAAATCCAATCTTCGGTAGTGTTTGCAAATTCATCTTTCAATTTGTAACAATATTGACCAAGTCTAAACAATATTTAAACTTGACCGCAGTTACCACTTTTGTCAACATATCAGCAGGATTCTTAGTGGTCCGAATATTCTAGATTATGACTCCACCTTCTTCTAGAATCTCTCGTACAAAGTGATATCGAACATCGATGTGCTTCGTTCTTGCATGGTAAACCTAGTTCTTTACTAAATGAATATCACTCTGACTGTCACAGTGAACTTTGATGTGCTTCTGTTCCATTCCCAATTCACCAAGCAACCTTGAAGCCAAATTGCCTCCTTCAAAGCCTCTGTAATTGCCATATACTTTGCCTTTGTAGTAGACAAAGCCACTGTTGACTGTAAGGTGGACATCCAACTGACTGGTGCCTTTGCAAATGTAAACGCATAACTAGTAGTTGATCGACGCTTGTCCAAATCACCTGCATAGTCTGAATCACAATACCCAACTACACACTGACCATCTTGTTTGTCCTGCTGAAAGACCAAACCAACATCTACGGTGTTCAGAATATACCGCAGAATCCATTTCACAACTTGTCAATGCTCATTTCCAGGATCATGCATATACCTGCTCACAACCCCAACTGCCTGTGAAATATCGGGTCTCGTACACACCATTGCATACATCAAGCTACCAACAACACTTGCATACGAAACCTTTGACATGTATTCCCGTTCTGCATCATCCTTAGAAAATGCATACTTCTGCTCTCTAGAAAGACACGATCGAATAGTACCACATGCCAATTTATTGGTCCTCTTCCATTCTTTCTCCTCAACATCATTTGGTTTCTCTCCTTCAATAGCAATGTCTAGACCCTGCAGAAATAGGGCATCTAGAACCTCACTTTGCCACATGCTGAAATGATCGGTGCCATCAAAAATCTCCACTGCAAATCTAACAATTGGTATCAGCGCTCTTGGTTTATTTTAGTATGCTCTGTGGTTGAAGTTTAGACTGATCTTCCACATCAGAAAAAAATTCCTTGGGATAATTGACATTCCGCATTAACAAATTCACCTTGAAAACTATTATCTAGGTGACTAGTATGAAAACGATTATACTAAAAATCACCCAAGGTAGATTCCCAGGAAAGAGGAGGAGTCACAATGTCCCTCTTAAAACCCATTTTCCTTAGACATAACTACCAAGACAAGTAATTTTAATAGGACAATAATTAACAACAACTATACCCGACAATAACTATTAAATAGACATAAAAGAGAACACCAAAATTTAACGAGAATCGGCCAAAATTATGCCTATGTCCTCGAACACTACTAAAATAATATTACACTAATAGAGGAAATATTACAAAGAGAGAAAGAGTACAAATAGCCTTTAATAGTGAAGAAGGCTTATATTATTGGGATGCTTAACTAAGGAGGAGGAGAGCTCTATTTATAACAAAAGAATTTCCCCTCCTCCTAATACACAACCAATGTGGGACTTTGCCAAAAAACCAACAAATCTCCACCTTGGCCATTTCCACACACATCTCTAAAAAATCCAATCGTTTTCATACTAGTCACCTAGATAATAGTTTTCAAGGTGAATTTGTTATTATTGGTGGAAATTAACCCGAATTCCACAACAGTTGGTAGGTAGCTTAATGTTAATGAGGTATTGGTTTAATAGTGAAATTATATGAAAATATTTTTTAATAGAAATTGTATGAAAATATTGATATCTCAAATTTGAGTGTCATCATATATATATATATATATATATATATATATATGAAGATTTAAGAGTTTCATCATATTTAAATATTTTGGATAGATTCTTAATTTATATTTTATTTTAAATCTTGTTATGTATAAATTTCATTCTCATTTATTTCAATTATAGATGAAATTACTTAATAATTATTCGAATATATATTATTTATATTTATAATTATGACGACACTCCTAAGTTAAAAACTTATACTTTGATATGAACAAAAATTAAATTCATAGTTGGGTTTTTTCTTTTTTGGAGAAGTCAATCCATGTAGGTAATTGCGTAAACTACTATCGATAACGTAAGAAATAATTGTGTTCTCAAATGAAGTAATAAATAACTAAAAAAATATGTGTTTGTATAAGCTCATATTGTAAAATTTATATTTGTTAATTAAATGATTTAAAAATATAATTATTATATACGAAATCGAGCCTAGGAACCCTAGCCGCTCTCCCCCCCTTTTTTCTTGTATAATTTATAACGCTTTTTATAAATAAGATTAATTTTTTTCTTTGATTTTGTTTAGTCAGCGATGATATTAATGATAATGTTGATAGTCAACTGCTGATTTTCTTCTCTCTTTATATTTTTTTAGTTTTTTTAATAAGAATGATTTTATTTTTGTAGTACGTTTATCTCTGTCTTTATGACGCGATTTTCTTTGTCTTTGTGCCATGCTCTTCGTCTTCTTTTTCAGTCATTTGGTCGTTCTTTATATTTTATGTTTTCTCAAAGTTGGATTTGATGATGCCACAATTATCAAGATGACGCTTATTTATAATCCAGTTGATCTTCGTTGATATGAACCCTCATATTGAATTTGGATATGCGATTTTGCGATCGTGGAGTTTATCACGACGCACACTCTGATTTGTGATTCTCAGTGGTATTTTAATAACTTAATCCTTTTTATGGTTCGTTTGCCGATTTAGTCGAATTTAGAGAGTATTTTTTTTGTTGAGTCTTTTGGCTGATTTTTTAATCTTTTCTATTTATGTCCTTATATGATTTAAAGTGACTAATTCAATATTATAGAAAAATATCGAAATTATGTATTTAATTTACTATAATAGTTGTAAACTCTTATTAGGGATGTTTGGCAAACAACTAATAGCTAGTAGCTAATTCTAGTAACTGATTTAACTAACTGATTTGATTAGCTGATTTGATAAATTGATTTGATTAATTGTTTATATAGAAGTATTTGATAAAACTTAGCTGATGACTGATAGCTGATATGGGTAAAATGACAAATAAATGTACGATACATTTAGTTGTTAAGTACATATATGTTTTTATAATACTTTAATCTTTATTTGGACAAAATTATTCTAATAGAATGCTTTTGACAAGGAATTAAAAATTCCTTAAGAAAATTAGTGAATATTTTTAAATTTTTTAAATATATTTTTTAAATTTAATATTTACAAATACTAACATTGTAATATTGATACATAGTATTAACCTAGTATAAAGTATCAACGCTATATTTATTTTTTACTTTCATGTTTTGTTATATTTTCTTAACTAAATATTTGATAATTTACAACTAAAAAATAGAATAAAAAAATTCACTAAGGAGATTTTATGGCAATGATGTAATTAAGGAAATAATAAGGTCAAAAATATTATTTAACATCTTATTTTGTAATAAGTTATCCCAAACCTCTGGATTTTCCTGCATTTTCATTTTCAACTTATTTTGTACACTTAACTCTTTCAAAAAGTTGTTTACCAAATATTAAAAATGGAGAGTTTGACTATCAATAAGCTATTTATGCTCAAATAAATTAAAAATTCTTTAAAAAGTTGTTTATCAAACACCCGTCTTGTAATTTTAGATATTTATTTTTTAATAAAATTAACGGCTTCTATTAAAAAATTATTATGTATGATCTTTTAGGACTTTTAATCTGGATTTTATGATATTTGTTTGAGATTCATGATTATTTTTATTAATAACATTATTTTAAATCTCGTACGTGAATTTTCTTTTTTAAAAACGTAATACTCCATATCTTTTTATTGTTGGTCTAATAATTTATAATTTAACATAACTTTTATTTTTTAAGCTTTTGATTTAATTTTTAATTGATTATATGGAAAGATTAAATCGTATTACTTTATTTTTGAACGCATCACTTTATATTTTAAGTTATGAATATATTTTAACAAAAAATTTATGAAAAAATTTAATGAAAAAAAGTTATGAATATATTGGTAAATTTTTAAAAATAAATTTTAAAAAAATTTCGAGTGATTTTAATAATAAAATTTATGAAAATATTGAGTGTTACTTTAATAATGAAACTCGAAATCGAATAATTATATTTGTAAAATATATTAATGATTAATAAAAATTCTTAACATGTATTATTTTTTATATTAGTTTAGACTATTTGAAAAAGTGAAATCTAATTATTTAATTAGCGGACTAAGGAAAACCCAATATCATAAGCATTAATAATTGAGTGTGAAAATTCAAGTTAACAACAGTATATAATAACAATTATAAAGTTGTAATTAAAAAAATAATGTGAAATGGGATCCAAAAGGTCAAATCTATATTTTATTCTCTATTCTTATAGAATTACAACGTTTCATCATCAATGCAAAATAATTTTTTATTAGTCTGAAATGATTATAATATAATATATATTCATAAGTTTTTTAGTTATTTGATAATAAACACACAAACACCCTGCATATGCGATTGATTGAACCTAAAATCTCTGGGAAGAATAACACTTTCTTTTATCACTAAGATCGTTCAATAGGTTCAAAGAAAAGAAAATTAGTGACATTATTTAACTTCTCCCTATGTTTATTTATCTTAAAGGGAAGTATGACCAACTTAGTTTATTATTTTTTAATAATAATATTTTCTTGGGCCTTCACATGAGAATAGGTTCCTCTTGAATGGGCTATAAACTTCAAACCACCGTCGTTTTGCTAATAAACCTGTTTTAAAAGTTTCACATGTCAAACCCTCCAAAAAAAGAAGAAGAATTCTTTTGGCGCCTAACTAAACCAATTCTATTGGTCTAATCCATTTCACGCGGATCACAATTCCATAACACCATCCCTCAACCGCCCGATTGAAAAGCTCCCTCAATTCCCAAATTTCAAATCTCTCGCGCTTCTTTGCTTTCCACTATTTAAAACCCCAAATGCCCACCCACTTCACAGCCCAAACACGTCATAATTTTCTCGAGAAGCAAACAAGTTTCATCTTCACTGTACAAAATGGCTCGTACAAAGCAAACCGCCAGAAAGTCAACGGGAGGCAAGGCCCCGAGGAAGCAATTAGCCACCAAAGCCGCGCGAAAATCAGCACCGGCGACCGGTGGAGTCAAGAAGCCTCATAGGTTCAGGCCCGGGACCGTGGCTTTACGTGAGATCCGGAAGTACCAAAAGAGCACCGAGCTCTTAATCAGGAAACTCCCATTCCAAAGGCTGGTGAGAGAAATCGCCCAGGATTTTAAAACCGATCTGAGGTTTCAAAGCAGCGCTGTCGCCGCTCTCCAGGAGGCCGCCGAAGCTTACTTGGTCGGACTTTTTGAAGACACAAATCTGTGTGCCATTCACGCTAAGAGGGTTACGATAATGCCTAAGGATATCCAACTGGCTCGCCGTATTAGGGGCGAGAGGGCTTAGATTTTCTTTTGATCAATTTTACTTTATATTTTAGGTTTTCATGGATTTGTGGTAGGGTTTAATATCGCTAATGTGAAGGGTTAAAGCCTTGTTTTTCCTTATTTTAGTTTTTGTTTTAGGTTAATGTCCTATTAGTCCTTTTCTTTTATTATTAAAAAACTATATATCTAATATTATATATATTATTTTGGTGATCTTTTATTAAAAAAATATTAGAATTGATGGTGTGATATTTTTTTAAAGTTTTTTTAATGATAATGTGATATTAAGTTTGCAAGGCTAGCAGTATTGGTGGATCTAAACAAGCCCTTAAAGGCATGTATTGGCATAGACAATTTTATTTAGAAATTAGAGTATGAGGACTCAGACAGAAATGCTTCACTTGTGGGGTGTATGGCCATACTAAAGAGGCCTTCCCAACAACACAACCAGCCTCGACCAGTACCACCAACAGGGTCGAACAAAAAACGAAAGAAACCTCTCCGTCAAATAACCCGACAGAATTATACAGACCTGGGATGATAGTCACTAATTGTCGGAGGAAGACGAAGTCAACAGTAACAAAGACAACTACACATAAAAACCAGAGAACCAACCCTACAGGCTCCAGATATGCGGCACTTATGGTGGAGGAAACGGAGAATGATAACATGGAGGAAAAAACAGATAAGGAAACCACGGAACATATGCATGTAGACCAATATATGGACAGCAACGTTGAAGAAACGTCTGGTACGAGCATAACTAATATGGTTCCACAACCTAGTGATAGGATAACCAAAAGTAAAGGAAGATTGACCCAACGAGGAAGAGATAGGATTTGGATAATGCTAATAAGTCACCACCACGTACAGCCACAAAATCTATAGAAAGAGTCAGAATTAAATATTTACGGAAGTCAAAATATTAGAATATTAAAGAAAATATAAAAATTTATTAGGTATTTAAATTTAAAATTTAGCACGAATCAAATGATCTTAGAGATTAAGAGATTGTTATTATTCTTGAAGTCTTGAGTTTGAGCACTGAGCATATAGGAGTATAAGCGTTCATTGTTAAATAATTGAGTTTTTGTACAAATATTATCTTGTATTCACCTTAGATTTATAAAGAAAAAAAACTCAAAATTCACAAGACAACACCTAATTTATCTAATATTTAAACTTACAATGACCTAAATTGTTATTAAGCCAAAAATTTTGAGAACACGAAATTATCCTTCTTTAATTCGTTCCTTACTTGATTAAATATTTATTAAATTCTTTTTAATTTAATTATTTATTTTTACATAGACCAAAATAATATTAAACCAAAATTATACTGAATAAACAAATTTTAACAGAGGCTGGAGCCCATTTGGGCCCTCACTAAGCTCCGCCCCTGGATGTCTGACCCTATATTGGGGTTCACAAACATGATGAATCATTGCGAGACCTGTGATTATCATGCAGATATGAAACGTTGTGAAGGTGGAAGAAAATTTGAAACTTTAAATGATATACACGTCTTTAATGTTTTTGTTTCTTTATATAGCTATCTCAAACTCACCTCTATGTTTCCATTTATCTTTTTAGGTCATTTTGGGGTTATCAAGTTTCCGTACGCAATAGTCAATCCATATTTTCCATAAGAAATTGTACAAATATTGTAGTAACCGTCCTTCGGGTGGTCTCGAGATCAGGTTCAGACTTGAATTGAGTTTGTTGGAGCCGCTACCGATCAGTTTGGAATTAGGTTGACAAGAAACCTTAACTTACCATTTATCTGATATGCGTTTTACCAGAAATTAGTCGGATTTGGGAGTCGATTACAGTCAAGGAATGATTAGTACCCTTGTACCGGCCTTTCGGTACCAATTTGATTTCTCGGTTGTCTTAATTACGAAAATTAAAAGTTAAATTTAAATTTAAAAGTTCGATCCGAATTACTTACATTTGACGAATTTTAGAATAGCCTAAAAATATGAAATAATTGTTAGATAAAAAATTAAATTAAAAATAAAAAGAAATAAATAAAAAATGAAAAAAATGTTAAATAAAAACATAAATATTAAAAAGGATTATACTGAAATAAATCAAAATTTAGAGGTCAAATTGGTGCTAAAAGTGAGTTGCAGGAAGAAATAAAAAAGTTAGGGTACCAAATTGCAAAGTATAAGAAATATAAACATATATTAAATTGAATTAATTCAAAATTCAAGGGAAAATTTGGAACTAGTGACCAAAATGAATTACACATCAAAGATACATGGATTACGAAAATAATTTAAAAATCTTATAATTACAAGGAAGCCCCATATATAGAGCCCAAAAACCACAAAATTAAATTATTTCAACCATTTCCAAAATTTATAACATCCCCTTTTAAAACTCTCTCAACTCTCCTTCAACATCTCTTAACCGACCAATGGCTAGCCAAAAATACGACCACGCCCGCCGCCCGATCCACTGCTCTGGCCACCGCCTCCGGTGACCGGAGTTTTCTTTTTACCCGAAATGGCGGTGGCTGGAGTTTTCTTTTTACCCGAAACGTTCCACTCAACACCTCGAAGCCAAAAACCGAAGTCCAAACACCCAAAATATCCCCACCGGCGTAGATCTAGTAACAAAAGTCTCGGGTTTACCTTTTTTCGACAAGCCTTTACGATTTCCGGCGACCTTTGGCTTTCCACAACCATGCTTTCCTCCGTGCAGTTCCAAAAACCGAATCCTTGATATTTTTTTGCAATTTTTCTTGTTATTTCGAATGCTTTTTCTGCTTCGTTTTTGTTGTTTCTGTAACACCCCAACCCGTATCCGACCAGGATACGAGTCCGAAGTGTCACATTGACTTTTCAAAAATTTATTCGTATAAAATAGTGAGTAATTTAAAAACTTTTATAACATTTAAATTATTCAAAACATTTACAAAATTATTCAGAGCTTATACAATATATTCTTTTGATTACATGCCAACTAGAACTTTATATACAAAAATACATATTATTCACCTCTCTTCTGATCTGACATTCGGTAAGGAGAACTGGCATGTCTTGTTCATCTTTACTTTTCTTTTCGCTTTCCAAACTTACGTGTGAAACAATCACACGCTAAGTCGATGACTTAGTGAGGCATATAAAACATATAATATTTCATATAACATAAAGCATACATAAACATATACCATCATTATCATAATCTCTATCATTATCATTAAGAAACACACATAACATCATATGGTTCATGTAACACATTTCAAACCAGTTACCTTTGATAACCATTTATAAACCCATCGTATACATATCACATTCAGTATGCTTGTTTAATCACTTTATTAGCCCATGTACACTAGTGAGAACTTAAGGTATGTGAGTACATTGAGGTTGTGCACACATATGCTGTCACCACAGCTCGATCAATGTCCCGAAGGACCAGTCCATAGATTCCGAAGAACCTAGGTAATCAGTCCATATGTCCCGAAGAACATAGGTAAACAGTCCATATGTCCCGAAGAACATATGTAAACAGTCTATATGTCCCGAAGAACATAGGTAAACCCTCGACCCTTGGCATGCCAAACTATACCCTAGCTCTCATATCACATAACATGGGCATTATCATTTAACAGTTCACATTACTTGTCATTTCTCTTATGTCACATACCACATGTATGTGTAACCATGTATTCCATATCATATCACATGTATCACGTATTGCCTATTCATATGTCATTTCATATAACATATATCATATGTGCATGTAATCACATAGATCGTATCATATAGCTTCATTCATATCACATATTCATATAAGCTCATAGCTTCTTTCACATATACATGTAATCACTTAGTCTATTTTCATGTAATTCTTTTCACTTCTCATATGATTTTATATTCATATCTCACATAGCTCATATCATATTTTCATATCATATATCTTATAATAGATTCTTATATCATCATTTGTTTCCTTTCTACCTATTCATAATCACATTAATGCATACATGTAATCACATAACTTATACCACATGATTCATGTAGTCATTTAGATCATTGTCTTTTAACACATATCCCATAATCACACAAATCATCACATAGATTACCAATCAAATCACATTTTAGGAGTTACTTCTTACCATAGTAACTCCATCACTAGCTCATCGCAAGCCAATGTTTATTCAATAATATAAGTATAAATTAAATTGTACTCACCTTAGCCTGGCTTTGATTCGATTATAATCCTTTGATTATTCCGGAACTTGTTTAGGCTCAATATCTACATAAATGTACATTTTAAGGCAATTATTAGATACCAACACCTTGTAGTTGGATACTATCAACTTAAACGAACTTATTAAACCCATATTTTCAATTTTCCTTTAGGGGGGTATCGATTCCCTACTGGGGGTATCGATACCCTCATGACATTATGGAATTCTGTCGTTTGAGAGGGTATCAGTACCCCTTTGAATGAGTACCGATTCCCCCTAACCCAGAAATCATTTTTCAGCACGAAAATTACTTCATTTCCTCTCAAACACTTCATATATCATCCCTTTTTTCATTCTTAACTCTAGTACACATACTTAAGCCAATCTATATTCATTTATTTCATCTTAAACCTCAAAATCCTATCTTCCATATGTAATTCAATAATTACATCAATTTTGCAATATGTTTCAAATCCAATTCTATTACTTCATATCTCTTACTTAGATTGATAACAAGTCAAATCCAACTTTCAATTCTTGTTATGAACTCTATTCCCATATTTCATTCAAGAACCTCTAATCTTTAATCTTCTCTATCTCTTTTATCTTTTGATCTTAAGATAACTTAAGCTTTCCTTAAGCTTAGTTATCATCTAATGATCAAAACCCAATCTTAAACTTAACAAATAATTAACTAAGTAGAATACTCACCTTTGAGCTTGGAGATACGGGAGGAGAGGAAGAAGAAGAAGAAAAGAGAGTTTCTGGAGAAATCTCTTAATCTTATCCCATATATCATTATCTTATCTTTCCAAGTCAAATGACCACTTTGCCCTTAAAATCCTTTAATATTACTAACAACTTTTACGATTTATTTTCAGATAATCATTGAACTAATTTATTCTTCTACTTAATCACCAATTCTGAAACTTTACAATTAAGTCACTACCCATAGTTTGGGATGTTACAACTCTCCCCTCCTTATAAGAAATTCGTCCTCGAATTTTCACTGCACATTTTGATAAGAACATATCTTCTAATGTTCTTATGTTGCTTCCCTGACTTATTCTTTCTTGTCATCATCAGACACTTACTTTTCAATCCTTTAGTTTTCCAACTATCTTTTTCGTTTATACATTCATCTTTTGTTGCTTATCATATAAACAATAACCAGTAATATCAATCCATTGTTGTCTTTTCTCTCATTCGATTATGCATTTTCCTTTGACCTTTCTAAAATTCATATAATGTTACTTATCCTGTAGACAGTAACATCAATTCTTATCACTCAAAATCAAAAATCAATCAATTGATTTCTTTCCTCATTTTCTAATTAATTCACCACAATCCAAAACTTTTACTCATTCTTTACTATCTCTTATAATTGTATTTTCCTTCATCAGCTTCTAATCCTTTAACTTAATATACTCCAACTTCCTAACTCTGTTAATCAACATCGATTCTTCGAATCTAAAGCGAAAGCCTTCATCTAACCATTCACATACATTCTTTGCAATTGGAATTATTTCAACAATTACCAAATCTCAATACTCATCTCACCCCTTTATAATACTTTTCTCGCTTCAATTTTCATAACTCTAACAGAACTTTTAATCTAATTCACAAAGGTTGTCTTTAACCTTGGTTTATTATCAATTAAATCATTGTTTAATCTTTCAGTACCAGACCATACTAATTGAGTCAGTCTGACTCTCTTTGATGGTACTGAACTCTATGAAGCACCAATTCTCTTAATCATATCCACACTCTTGCTTATACCCAATATTATCCCTTCGTTTCAAACTCATAATCTCTGGCTTCATATACCTTATACACTTGTCACTGATGCACTTATCCTTGAACTCTTTTACAAATTCTCACTAATTCATTTAATCTTTTAACGTTCTTATGGTGACACTCGTTCACCATATTCCATCTTATCCACATAATAACAAACTTCTCAAATTTAATTTCTCCATTATGGAGAAATGAACATCTTCTAGCATTATCTTCATATCATTTATCCAAAGGTCTGTAACAACAGAGCCTTCCTCAAATTCACCCTTGAGCTTGGGTGCTCATAACGCTTTTAACTATTTCGATACATTCATTCTATGAGTTAACTAAGTATACAATTGAAAACACATCGGAATATCATTCAACATCATGAATCATTCTCTAATCTTACTAACAACTTTTAGGATTTATTTTCAGATAAATCATTGAACTAATTCATTCTTCTACTTTAATCACCAAATTCTGAAACTTTACAATTAAGTCACTAACCCATAGTTTGGGATGTTACAGTTTCGATTGCTTGTTTTTGCTTGCCTGCTTTGGTTGCATAGGCGATGTCTTTCTCACTTTGATGGTTTTCGGGTTTATATAGGCCCTCCCGCCGGTGGTTATTTTTTAGTATCTCGGGGTTGTTTCCTTGTTTTCCGATTCGTTCAGGTTGTTGCTTCACGTACGAGAAATAGTTGTTCCCAAATTTTCGTGATTTTCCTCTGGTTTAGCACGTACCGTTTCCTTCGTTGGCCAATATGCGTTTGCTAGCCGCCAGGCTTGCGATGCTCTTGTTACTTTAGGGTTTATGTAACCCTAACCTCTGCTAGGTCAGACAGATGAGCTTCTTTTGTTGGGCTTGGCAGCTGGTCCACTGGGTCAGGTGGGAATGTTGCTGTGTTTCCCGGATTTAGACATTTCCTCTGAACTTTTAGACTCTTTTATTGGACCTAAATAAAAATAAATAAATAAAATAAAATAAAAGTAAAAAATAGATAGGAAAATGAAAAATAAAATACTAATACTAATAATATGTGTATATTAAAAATTATATAATATATATTATATTTCAAAAACAATATGTTTTCAAAGACTATATATATTATATACGCTTTCAAAATGCATTTTAAAAATCTATATATATAAATATGTTTTCAAAAATATGTTTTCAAAAAACTGTTTCCAAAAACTATATTATATATTTTCAAAAACTATATATATTATATATTTTTAAAATTATTATATATATATATTATCATATATACTATACAATGAAATAAAAACCCTTGAAGTCCCAGACGAAAATAAGTGTCTACATATACTAAATAAGATTTTCCCAAGATGTAAATCGATTCACAAAGATCTATCGGTAAAGGTGAGGTTCCTCTGGCCTTCTTAAAATGACGGACTGAGATATATTATTAAAAAAATTACCTAATTTATACACGTTAATATTAATAATGTTGGAGATAATATTGATAAAAAACGACAATAACAATTCTATTGAAGAGCATCTAATACTAAAAAAATCTAACACAACCTAACACAACCAAACAACAAAATAGAGTTTTAGCGGTGTTTTTTGAGTCATATAGCGGCGTTTTTAAGCGCCGCTAAAAGCGCTTGCGGCGATAGGAAAAATGCCACAAGAAACGCCGGCCATACCTGTGCCGCTAAAGTTAGCGGCGTTTGAGAACGAAAAACACCGCAATAAGTCAAGATCTATAACGGCGTTTTTGGAACAAACGCAGCAAAAGGTCAATATCTATAGAGGCGTTTTTGGAACAAACGTCGCAAAAGGTCAGATCTATAGCTGTGTTTTTGGAACAAACACTGCAAACTGTCATATCTATAGCGACGTTTTTGGATACAAACGCCACAAAAAGTCAGATCTATAGTAGCATTTTTGGAACAAACGACGCAAAAGATCAGATCTATAGCATCGTTTTTTATAAAAACACCACGAATTAAAAATACTTTTTCAAATGTTGTTTTCTACTTTTTTGTTACCCAAATTTAAAATTTTAACATATAGCATTATCCAATAAACTTGACATCCAGTGAACTGCGTGGCCTTGCTGAAAGGTGGAACATAATCAAATTAGTCAGGACATGTCACATAACATTAAAGAACAACAAAATCATAAACATAAGAACATACCCATTTTTCTAGAGGTGTCGCCTTAAATACAACTGGAAGACACAGACAGTTGTAAAGAACAAAGAAAACATTTTACAGAGAAAAACCAATTACAACAAAGAAAAAGAAAACATTTTACAGTTGCAATGCATCATCAAGTTGAATCCCCTTAGGAAGCATGAAACTTAGAGTTATGGACATAGTGAAACCATCAATGAACAACATTGTAATCACATTTTATTAACAATTCATTTTAACATTCATAAAAACTAATCCTATCACAACTGCAAACTTAACATCTCTTGAACAATTAACATTAAACAACTCTGAGCTTAATGATTAACAACCAACTAGAAAATAAAACAAATATGCAAGGAAAAAACAGAAAACCTAAAAAGGATGCCAGGAACCCAATAATGACATCATCCAAACAACTAGGGGAAAGGGAAAAAACTAACAAATCATAAGAATCGTTTTCTTTTTACTTTTTAAAGCTAGTATACATTACTCATGAAATAATATAAGAAAGTATTACCGTAATACCAAAATGTAGAAGAAAATGAGGAAAGGTACCTGAAGTACAAGCCATAGGGCCCAACATATGCAAGTGACAAGCAATGGAATTGTTCTTGTATCCTGGCTCGGTTTGCTTCCCACCACATCCTTGCATGCATTTCTCCAAACCTTTCTCGGCTGCATCATACATTCAAAGAAACAAAAATAATGTTATCGCTGTAACATGATCCTTGATTTAGATATTAAGCTAACATTGCAGCATCATGAGTCAAACGAGCAACATAAGGGTTAGAACCATTGGGTGTTTCGATCATTCACCGACTCCGTATGCACTAGGGAAGCTGTTTACACCCCACTGGAACCAAACTAAATCTTGTAGGGGAATGGAATTGTTTAAAGCTAACTTTATGGCCAAGAAGATGGAGCAACCAGCTAATAACAAGCAGTGAAAACATAGGATGAAATTAACCATTTGGCTTCTATTCCCATATTCTAAAGACACGAACCAAGCAAAAGTTGTCACCTAGTTGGATGTTACTGTAAGACTATGTTAACAGTTTGTCCTATAATCCATCAATCTTCTATGTCAAACAAATTGCAAACCTGAATCGGACACGTCTAAGCTCTCGAGTGCTGCCTGGAAGTGTTCTAATAGTGATGTAAACCCCTGGTTCATCCTGTTCAACCCATTCATTTTCCATGTCACTGGTATTTCTCCAAGGGACATATATATTGAGTCGGTCATCAGCGAGAGTTCCCTGAAAATAAAATCCCAATAAACTCATAAAGCAAATGCTGGACTTATTAAACTGAAATGCTTTAATATAACTATTATTATCTATTTTATGAAGATAAACCTACCAAATTCATGCTATATGACTTGTCCAAATCAACCGAAACACCAAACATCAGACCAATCAAGATCTATGACAATGTTTACTCTTCCTACAGGAAAAAAACACTCATCATGCATCAATTAGTTGAAAAGCACTGTCATTTTTTGACTCGTCCTTGCAGGTCTGCAAGTTAGTTAATCCACGATCTTATAAACCATTAATAGCCACACAAAAACATATCCAAAACCAGGACACAGGTTTAATGGCGAAGTTTCAGGTTCAGAGCAACAACAGGGAAAGGAAAGTTAGCAGAAATTTAAGAGCAGCGAGACAACAATAATACTTTAAAACTCCTCCTTTTAACATCAAATAAGAAGGTGCTGAAAGAAAAGGCAAATCTAATCTCCACTTGCACAACCTTTGCATCCACAGTGAACGCATTCAATAACCTTTTCTTCCCTCAAGTGCTTCGGAACATGGCAGACACAAGTTGTAGCGAAGTTGTGATCCCTTGGTTGCATGCAACGTAACCAACATAAACGTTCATATCCCGGCTGCAATAAATAAAACATATAAACAATAAAAATCTGCCACAATAAGAGGAAATTTAAAACTCGGAAAGACCAAGCACAGGAGATAAGAAAACAAAGGGACTATACAAATGTGTCTGATATATGAATGTATGTAATGCACGTATATATGTCCATCTATATCTAAGCACACATTCAGCACATAAAATGATCTCTGAGGTTTCAAACAGAAAAACCAACCCCTGATATGAAATGAATCAATAATTGATCAAAATATGCTAGATGGATTTGCTTTGCAGTACTAGAAAATTGACATATTATTTAATTATGAAACCATAAACCAATTTTGTCTAATTATCTGTGACACCATCAATTCCAGAAAATCAATGAAATGCCAAATTCCCAAAACGTATTTTAATAACTTAATATTTGTTTGTTTGCTCAACAATAGCTTCTCTCATCTTTTCTTGTAGCTCATGGAGCGTCGGTTCAATCAATTCCCATCCTTCTGGATATTTTACACGGTTCGTCTTCACTTTCAGCATTGTTCTACCTATCAACACCACAAAAGGTCAATTAACTTTTACATTAACAGGATATTACTGAGAATTTCACAATTCCTAAGGTTATAAACTGTAACGAACTAAGAGAAATAGGTGCATCAGAGGAACATAATAGGAACATTAGAAGAAATGAAGAACGGCATAGAAGAAACAACAAACATTTCATTTCATATTCTTATCATATTCATCCCTTAACCATAAACATAGAATCGGGCAAAACCCTAATTTAGTTTTCTTAAAAGAATTAAAGAATTCTATGCAACCAAAAAGAAGGGAGGTCGAAACACTTCCACAGCATTTTGCCAGATACATCACGAACCCATTTCCAGTGCGATTAAATATGCTCCCAGGGTTACTAACATGACTATCTAGTGTTATTAACGCATGGTCCCGTTTGTAAACACTACCGGTGAACCCTAATTTGATTTTAAAAGTAAAAGATTTTACGTTCACTTTTAGTCTTCAGCTATACAAAATTGATCGGCATAAACTAATATATAAACTAACCTTGGAGATGAGAAGGAGAGAGAGAAAGGTTTAGTGGAAGTAGCAGTTTGGTTCAATATGGAAGGAACTGACCCAATATTTGATTGAACAAGCCTCAGAACGCAGAGGAAAGAAAAGAAAATCAAAACAAAACACGCACAAAGAAGAACCCAATAAAGATATGGATGAAATCACGACTGTTGGACTGAAATTGAACTGTTAATCCATCAAACCGCTGGGTTCAAGAGATATTTCAAATGGGTATTCCAGAAATCACGACTGTTAGAATGAAAAAATAAATAAATAAAAACCTAGATAAACAGACAAACCTGTAAAACGTGGAGAAGGCGAATGATGTTGGGGTGATTAACAAAGGAGAGAAAACACAGAAAACAATTCGAAAACTTTAGATCGTCAAATGAGAAAAGAGATTTGGTTTCGAGAGAGAGTGTTGACTATGGGAACATGGGAGAAACTGAGATGAAGCACTCTTCAGCAACTACCAGTAGATGGGTTTGGGTAAATGGTGAGAATGAAAAAATAGATGAAGGTGAAAAATGAAAAAGGTTAAAGGGGTGGGACTTAGAAATTGTACATTTGCGGCGGTTGTAAATAGAAATGCCACTAATGTACTGTTAAATTGCGGTGTTTATTCAAAAAATCACCACTAAAGTATTATGTTTTAGCGGCGTTTATTGGAAAACGCCACTAAAATACGAGTATTTAGCGGCGTTTTTGCTTAAAACGCCATTAAAGTATTACGTTTTAGTAGCGTTTGTTTAAAACCGACACTAAAGTACTAGGTTTTAGCGGCGTTTGTCTAAAAACATTAAGATATATGTACCATATTGGGCGTTTATTTAAAAACGTCACAAAAAAACTATTCTATGGCGGCGTTTGTCAAATAAACGACACTAAAGTATGAGTTTTAGCGGCATTTATTGAAAAACGCCGTTAATGTTATAATTTAGTGGCGTTTTGGATATAAACGCCGCAATATGTACAAATTTAGTGGCGTTTTCTTTGACAACGCCGCGACAAACGCCGTTATATACCTGTTTTGATGTACATGCACTGTACTGTGGAGCTCATTGACATATATGTTTGTACTTGTTAGTGATACATTTCCCCGTCTTTATTGTATTTACAATCTTAATAGTAATATTGTATTTTAATTACATTTAATATTTTATTATTATTTTAAGTTTCATTCAAATAACGTAAAATTTTAAACTATTTCTCACTTTTACAAGTTGAAAATAAAACACAAACTAAAAAAATGATGTAAAATTATGAACAACATAAAATCTGAAAAAAAAAAAAAAATAATGAGAAAATCTTACAATATTAGAAAAGATTAGTTTAAATTATCAAAGAGTCGTCCATATACGAGATTATTATTATTTTGGGATCAACTTTGACTTTTATTTATTTTTTTTGGAAGAAAATATAAAATTAAAAGGGAACAAAAACAGATATCTTACTGCCTTTAATATTGAAATATATTTAACGTGAATAATAAGAAAAATAATAATTTTGTAATCAAGTTATTTACTTTATTTAATTAAAAATACATAAATGTTATAGAATTAAATTATTTAAACCAACGACCAGTTGATCTATTAGGATGAGACAATAGACTCCTCAACTAAGGTTAGAGATTCGAATCATGACGTTTGCGAATGAAATAAATTGGATTGGGAGAGTCACCCTCGCATCTACAGTACCCGATCTAGATTAGTCGACCAAGAGATCGAATTCCAGTGATTAATTAAAAAATTATTTAAAGCAAGCTTGATTAGTGATTTTATCTGGAGTAATTTCGGATTAGCTCCATTATGGTATGGTCACAAAGTGTGTTTAACGTCCCAAGAGCCTATCAGAACAACATCGTTATTATACATCTCGATCACAAGCTTCCTAGGATTCAATGTCGCAGTAGGGTTAAGTGCTTCACAAAGTAGCCAGAACTCCGAGAGTATTATCGAGCATTTCTCTATGCTTTTAGAGAATTCAAATATCCAACGTCCTTAAACACACCTCCAATGCTGAATATCAACCCGTCATAATTGATCTTAATCCAGTCAACCGGTGGCCGCTGTAATTTGTTATTAGCTATCAGGTTCCTTTCAACTGTTGTCGTTGAGGCCCTCAGTTCAATGAGCACTTTATGCAATTCGATGCTTTCCTTCAATATGCGTTGAAAGGAAGAGGCGTGAACTCCAATGGTGAATGGAAGCTTAATAGTAATAGCCAACAGTTTTGAATATAAAAATTTAATGTATAAGATTAAAATTAATTATTTACATATTTGAACAAAACTTTGGTACCTAAGTTATAAGATTGAAATTAATTATCTACATATTTATTTATAGGATTATAATTAAACCTACACATTTGTTTATCCAATCAGATTCCGTATTAAATATTTTTCATCTAATTAAGTATCTAAACTTGATTTGTTGGTTCAACTCAATATTTAGACTTTATTTTTTAGTCCAAATTAGTACTTACACTTAATAACTTGCTTGAACTATGAACCCAAATTTAAGTATTAATCTAAATTTAAAATTCGAGTTTAGTTATTTAATTGGACAAAAAAATTGAAAATATTAAACTTAATTTTATACGTGTGTGTGTGAATTTTTTATTTGCACTTTAACAATGTCTTAACTGTATTTATCATCATACAAATATTTTATACGTTCTTTTTGAGTTTTTGGACTTTAGATTTTAATAGCATTATTATGTTCAAATATAACGACAAAAGTGGCTTCGTATTTGCCAATTGCTGAGATGGCTCACTTTGTTTTGTCTCAACTTCCCTTCTTTAGAACAATCCCTAAAAAAGGATAACTTTTTTTTTGGTTTCTATCTTTTTTTTTTAAAAAAATTATAAGATTATTTGTTCGGACAGTCTTACATTATTGGGTATAATTAGGATGATAAATATGAACGGCACCATGATTTTTTTTATATTAATTCACAGGATGATTGTATACATTTTAAACTCTTAAATTTTATCGTAATTCTTTAAATTTATATCTTTCTGACATAAAATTAAGCATTTGTTTCTAAATAGAAGTACTTCTCATTATACATAATTTGATTTGAAATAAATCTACTACATATGTTAGAGTTGTACTTTTTTTAATTTAAAGGTTTGGCATTTGGTTTTAATTTATTACACACACAAAGGAAATTGGAAATTGGAAATTGGAAAATAGAAACTATTATATTATTTTATTTTTCATAAATTGGTTTGATCTTAAAACCCAACCCATGTTAATAAAT